CAAGGCTGGCTGGGGAATTCTGGGAGTTGAAGTCCAGTCATCTTCAAGCTGCCACGGTTGAGAAACACTGGCTTTGAGCAGTGAAAAGTCATGAATGCTGTAAAGAATGTTGAAAACAGCAGGTGTAGATACATAATTGGAGAAATGTTAAAATATGGATGTAGTTTGCTGATGGAGAGGCTGACTTATTTCACATATGTGTGAGGACTGGCTTAGAGGGAATATCAATTGCCATTCTTTGCGGCCTGAGTTTCCAGTGTGACTGCTGGAAAGTTTGTTGCAGTGAATCACACCGTTCCAGCTTCCAAGCCACTGTCCATATCTGCTCTTCTGACCCACCACGTTTCTGCTGTTCTGGGGTCCACATCACGAGGACTGAAAAGATTTGATCCCCAAAGACGGGCTACCAGCTTTTATCAGTGAAAGCCAAACATAAATAGAGGGAACTCCTTGATAGATTATTCATGTTTTCCATCAAGAGTCCAGATAACAGTATTTCAGTATCTCCTAGCAAACAGTCCTCTAAATATAAATAATTCACCTCTTTCTGCTACAGAAATGACTCTGTCCGGTGGAAACTGTTACCATGGTGCCCATACTCATGCGCTGCTGCATTTTGAGGAAATTGTTTCTCTGCGTTATTTTTATGCATTTATGTAAAAGATGCATATATTTATATTTAAAAGACATATATGATCAGCATTGCTTCCAGGGTAGTTAACAAATTCTGTGTTCTAAATTAAAGTAGGTGTATCTGATTTGAGAAGACTAAGGTAGAGAGTTATAAGTACTCACAGAGCACTCATGGATGCTTGTACAGATCTAAGACTGTAATTGACTGAAGGATAGAGGCTCTTGTTTCATTACTGGGAACATGTGTTAGATCTCATTATTAAAACTCTAGATGAGACAGTTAATTTGTTTCTAGGTAAGCATGAGTCAGATGAAGACTTAAAGGACTGAATGTTCCTCTGTTAAAAAAAATGCAGTGTTGTTTTGGCTGAGAGAGTGACAGGAACCCCACTTCTGCATTTTCACTTGCTGCATTTTAAAGGGAATATCAGCCTATTGACTAGAGAGGGCTGTGTAGAGGGAAGAGGGAATGGCCTTGAGAGACAGGAGGAAGAGCTGCTGCCAGGGCAACAGTCAGATAAAAGGGACCTGAGTCCGGGCCAAGAAAGTAACGTGAGCAAATGTCTCAGACAAGCCCCTCCCTAGCTTGCACAAAGGTAAAGGGAGGGAGTGGGGAAGCACATTCAAACTTTCAGGATTCTGTTACTATAACTTTACAATAAAAGTAGTATTGGCCAACATGACTTTGGAAGGCTGATAGGTTGTTGCCTTACAACTAGAGTCTCTGTTACATGCACACCAAACTCCATTTCTTGAACTCCACTGCAACAGTGCTTATTTTGCATCCAGGCCGCACAAATCCTGACAACAGCTAGATGGCATCCAAGAGACATAGAAGAGACACTCATTCTTTGCAGTCATCTAGGTCGATAGGTTAATAATCCTTTGGCAAAATGTTAGGGGGAAAATTATTGGATGGAATTTATCAGCATAGTCCAACATGTGTTCTGTGTGGCAATTGGTGGCAGTTTTTCCTGTAGTTGGTGACATTGGGTAGGACTGGAACCACAACCTGTCACTTTCCTTACAGCATCACATATGCACAACAGCACAGCAGAGCCCTTCTGTGGATGCGCATTAAGGACATATTGTGGAGGAAATGTGATTTATGCTGAAATGATTTCCCACGGCTCTGGCACGAGAGGAAAGCATGGCAGGGTGGCTGTGTGGATGAGTCCGTGGGCTCTGTTTTTTCTCTAGCAGTTAATTTTGCATCTGTTGAAAAGCTGCCCTGGTATCTGGCTGCTCTCTGTGCTTTGCACTGGCTGATATCTGACGTGTCACCACTGTCTTGTGAGCATATTTCAAATTAAAAAAAAAAAATAGTACCGCATAGCTAATTATAATTTCCAAGTATAACTTTCTGTTATGCGGAAGAAAACAACAAAGAATGCTGTGATGCTCTATCGACTAACAAAGGTGTTAAGGTGCTGCAGAATTCCTTCCCTGGAAGCATTTAATCAGATGCTGAATGGCTATCCGTTGTAGATTCCGTAGTAGTGGATTTCTGCAGTAGACGGGGTGGGATAGATGATCTCTAAGATATCTTCCAACGCTTACATTCCCCAAATTTTTGCCGGTTTTGCTGTAATAAGTTAACATAGCTGCTCCTCCAAGGCTTGGCATTGAATTGTTTTTTGATGTCCACGTTGTGTTACTATCCTGGTTTAGGCTAATTCAGGTGCGCCTGACTAAATTATTACAAATTTTAACAAGGTTTTACCAGGATGAACTGTTTTCTACCCGTTCTCCAGCTTTCCACAGGACTCCAAGTTGATTTTTCTGTTATCTGTCTTGGAGCTACCTTTTGGACTTGACACAATCTCTGTCCAAACTGCTGCCTTGTGCAATATTCACTGTGTTAATGACACTGGAAATCAGCCCACAGCGCTTTGCCTTACAGTGCTATATCAGAAAGAAAATTGCACTGTTGGCATCGCTTCTGATTTCCTAGGTTAATTAAAACACAGGTTAGGGTCTAGTCCAGGCAAAAATAATGGGATGGATTGTAATCTTTTTTCCTTTATTCACATGTTGCTAGTTATATGTACAGTTGTGTGCACTGCCAAACTTGTGAATGGCATCCTCCTTAAAGTCCTTGGATCAAAGCAGTGCCCCCCCCCGTCTCTTTAGATTCTGTACGTATGAAATGGTAAGAAATCTCAATTGGTACTGGTGAATTATGCCGCTGTTGAGCCTTTCGCCCTAAAACCCTTTTGTCTAGTTTTCCTTGTTTCGTTCTGCTCGTGGAAGTGCATGTTCTTAGAGAATACATTAGAAGAAGAATATAGCTCATTTGCCATTTCATGAATGCAGGCTTCCTTTTCTCTTTTTACAAGGACAAACTTTCTCTCTTGCTCTTTGCCTCCTTCTCTGGGTCTTCAGTGAGATTTTCCCTGTCCCCTTCTTGGATATGATGCCTCTTGGCCCTCATCTCACCTAAATGCACACCGCCTCTCCTGAAAGGCTTTGCTTCGATTACGGTATTCCTCAATCCAGTAGGTTACTTCACCTCCTTGACCATATCAGTGCTGTTACTCTTTGTACACTCTGGCCACTCATTCCTTACTCATTAACAGCGTTGTCCAGATTTCACTCTGTGCAGCCACATTTTCTTGCCATTCCCTTTTCTCTCTGGAAGCAGCTTGCAGAGATCAGCTTAATGGAGGCTGCTGCTGCTACTACTGCTCTTCCTTCTCCTTGTCCTTCTCCTGCTAGTATGGGGGCAGATGACTGCAAGGAGGAGGGGAGGGTCAGGGAGTCAGCAAGAGCCCCCATCCTGCCACAGCAAGGGCTCATGGGTTGGGTCTTTTGTCTTAACTTTAGAGTGTTAAAAAATATTCAGCAATTACAGAAGCTCAAATGATGGTTAAGTAGAAAAGAGAGTTGTATAAAAAGGCATCAGAAAGTAGTTTCTAAACCTGGCAAATAGTATGGATTTTTTATAAACAAAGGCAGCTGAATGTAAAACTTACCCAATTGCTAATCAGCAAGGCTTTTTCTTAGATTTTTTTTTTTTTTTGCAACTGTTAAATCACAAGATACGGTTTGGTGTTGTGATTAAGGTGCTAGATTAGAAACTGGGAGATTGTGAGTTCTAGTCCTTCCTTTGGCTAGGTGACTTTGGGCCAGTCTCTCAGCCTCCTACCTATCTACCTACCTACCTCACAGGGTTGTTGTTGTGGGAAAAATAAGAGGAGGGAGCACTGTGTATGCCCTCTTGAGTTGTACAAGGTAAAGGTGGGATAAAAATTTTTTTTTTTTTTTGCATCTGTTAAATCACAAGATACGGTTTGGTGTTGTGATTAAGGTGCTAGATTAGAAACTGGGAGATTGTGAGTTCTAGTCCTTCCTTTGGCTAGGTGACTTTGGGCCAGTCTCTCAGCCTCCTACCTATCTACCTACCTACCTCACAGGGTTGTTGTTGTGGGAAAAATAAGAGGAGGGAGCACTGTGTATGCCCTCTTGAGTTGTACAAGGTAAAGGTGGGATATAAATTTTTTTTTTTTTTT